TACCAAAAGAAGGGAATCTCCCACAGCTGGAAACTGGGTCCAGCAACCCTGGCCTGAAGACACCATAGGGCCACTGGTTGGCACCAGCAGGACCATGCGTCTCCCTGCCCAAATCTCACCCAGCCGACCTTGTCCTCTGGGGCCTAGACCGGGCTCAGCGTCCCTTCTGAAATACGTAGATGGAAGTTTGCAAGTTTACAAGTTTGAGAAAGTAGTGTTGTGACAAACTATTTTTTGTAACCGCGTGACTTTCTGCCCAACGCCACCTCGGGGGTTGATGCAGAAGGCCCGTCCAATTGCATGAATGCCCTCGCTTTTTCAGAAGAGAGATGGTCCCACGACGGTTGAGGGTTGATCGCACCTTGGCGAGCGTGAAAAATAACTGTTGCTATTGCTTCTTTCTTGTTCTGCTGGGAGAAATAGGAATTTTGGCGTGATCGACTCGCGGGAATGTATGTTTGAATTTTCAACTGAGGTCGAGCCCCCACGGGCTCTTGGAATTTTTTTTCTCGACTTTCTTTTTGCAATTAGGACTTAGGCTAGGAATTTGGGTGCATCACAATTTTGCCAACAATTGCACGGCGCTTCTTGCTTGCGTGCGCCTTGCCGCATCAGGATTTGTGCTCTGGCTTTCTCCGCTCCTTAAATCTTACATGTAACTGTAATTCTCTTCTTGACAGAGTGCGAATGTAACTGAAATCCCCTCCTTCTTGATATCTTCGTTGCGCCCTCGCGCGCACATATTTCCCCCCATCCTATTGGCCTGAACGTTGCATGACTGGATCGATGTGTGGAGTGTGGCTACGTCCCCCACGCCGCGGCCCCGCCATGCAGTCGTAGGCACTTTCTCCTTCTTCCCTCCCACTCAAGCATGATCCCGGGTATCTCACGCAAACGCTCACGCTATAAATTTTGCTAGCGCAATTAACTCGCTCTCTATGAATTTTGGAGTTATCGAGGTTGAGAGGATCGGCTAACGGGCAAGAGCCAGAAGGTGAGTAGAGAGAGAGTTGGGCGATCCGACGAGCTGGTGCTGGGTATGTGGGGTTGTGGCCGCGAAGGACTGTGGCACACGGGCGAACCTGGCTTGCATGCCCGGGCTAAGCGGGGTGACAACTCTATGCAGGTGTGAGGCGACGGACTGCCCGCACCGGGATGGTGTGAAGAAAGAGAGAGAGAGAGAGAGAGAGAGAGAGAGAGAGAGAGAGAGAGAGAGAGAGAGAGAGAGAGAGAGAGAG